AGTTTTGTCTTCACGATTGAGGACGAGGTCTCGACTATGATTGGTGACTCACTCTTTGCTCCCCTTTTTTCCTTTTACTCGAAAGATGTCCATGATATGTGATTCATTAAGCTTGCTTCCGACTCTTTTTGACAATTTCATTACCATTTCTATCAATTTTTTACGGGTTTCTTCGGTTGTTTTGGGTACGTTCTTAATCTCAAAGTTGGACTTACGGCCTTCGCGCTGCATATCTTCCAATTTTTGCTCCAGAATAGCTATTTGTTGTTTATCTTTTTTGTTTTGGCTTTCGAGATGTTCCAGTTTTTTTTAGTTCTTCATTTTGCGTTGCTAAGAACGATATAGTTTTTTCTATACTAGAATTCGTGTCCTTAATTTCTAAAAAGCGCCGGGGTAATTTTATTAATTTCACGTTCTTGCACCTTAAACATAGAATTTATCATGGTCCTCATTTCCTCTCTAAACGCACCAAACCTATCAGGTTCAATATCGTCCTCCGGGTACTTTTTTTGCAGCGCTGTGCAATAAAGCTATTATTCAAATGATGTCCTGATAGCCCTAGGTGTGATGCGGAGTGAGATTTATTCAATCGCATTGGGTAGTAACCTGTAATGTTAGATATAAGTTAGATGTAAATAAATAAAAAATAAATAAATAATATAAATTAGATTCCATTGGTGTGTGCTCTGAGCTTTAAATCGAACGCCACTACTATATGAGGCGGGGCTACGTAGGCCGGGGATGGCCAAGCGCAGGTAAAGATGTTCTCAGCTGCGCGCGCGTCGATAAGTCAGGGAGGCCAAGATGGTGTCGACCTCGCAAGCGCTGATTAGTTTATATTAAACAAAAGGTCTCACGGTACCTTGCTAGCGTTGTACCAGGGCCCCAGATTTTACTCGGCGCTGCGCAGGTAATGTTGAAGCTTCTTAGTCCTTATGCACTCCTAATATTTCGTGTATATGTAATTGAGTTAATTTTGAATAAGATTTAAATAAAAAGTTTCTGTATACGTCTACTCCTAGTGGAGGTCCGGAGGGAGAGGATTTGAAACATTATTCGGTTGCTTTGGGAGCGGCTTAGGGAGTTCAAATTTTAAATGAGTTCAAATACCATTCGATTGATTCAGAACTCGATTTGGGAGTACGTCAGTTTTCCTGAATGGAACAGTAATTGAAATGACAATTTTTAGGTAATATGTGATAATATGTGCTATGAACAACATTTTGGTCACAAAAGAGCACACAGATCACCTTATGGTAAGTGGATACTGTGGCTCATAATATCAATTAAGATTCAGAATGCAGATGCATGCAACCATGATGGAATGCTACGTTTCCGGTAAAAGGGGTCTCCGGTTCTCTACAATCACTATACGATGGTAAACATCGCACAATTATTCTGCTATTTTACGCTGGTATTCTGCAAGGGAGTGGTCCTATCCCGGTCGAGCCGATCCACTTGTGGTACATCCTTAGTTATAGTTGCAGCGTAGATCTACCATGTATAGAAATTTAATTGCAATCTTCTCAGTGTAGTAAGAGGCAGTAACATTTTATTCTCGAAATACCGACATTATAAAATAATACAACATTTTATTTACGTTGTCTTTACGTTTTGTAACCATAACATAAACATAAACATAAACACTCACGCCTGTCACCCAGAGGGGTAGGCAGAGATTACAGACTTCCATTTGGCACGATCCTGACACACCTCTCTCGCCTCCTTCACATCCATACACCTACGCATGCATGCTCGTCGGTTAAGGGTACTTCTAATTTGGCCCGTTTTCAATAAATCGCCAATTTGGTCGATAAATTTTCGCCTAGGACGTCCCTTTCCGACTCTGCCATTCACTTTTGCAACAAAAATTTTCTTTGTCACTCTTTCCTCATCCATTCTTTCCACATGACCAAACCACCGAAGCATTCCTTTCTTAATCCTGGTCACAACATCATCTTGCAAACCACACTCTTCTCTTATCACACAATTTTTCACCCTGTCATTCAGATTCAGCCCTAACATACTCCTTAATGACCGCATTTCTACTGCATTTATTCTACTCTCGTGCTTCTTCTGCCACTCCCAACTTTCACTACCATACGTTAAAGTAGGGACCAACACAGCATTGTGAATTGCCATACGTGCCTTTTTTTGACACGTTTTGACTCTAAACAATAGAGTGTAGGGCCCCATTTACCAGTTTTGTAACCACTTACTAAGCTAACACATTTTAAAAAGCGAATTTCATTTGTATTTAAATGGTTATATAAAAAAAATATTCGCTACAAATAACAAAGGAAAATGTCCAAAATCGCCCTGTGCAATAAAAACATCGGACATACACGATAATTAATTATTTACTTTATTATATTTGCTGCAAATACTTTTATAACACGGACTATTGCTGCATGCCAAAATGTACATTAAAATATTCTATTCGACTAATAACATTAATCGCCGCCATCTTCGCCAAACATCAGGTGGTGTCGAAAATAATTAGGGATGCCTAATCGATTGTAATACATCTTTTTAATTTTTTTGTGAACTGTTGTACGTTTTTAATCCGAATAAAATTTTGAATTTATTTTGAATAAAGTGCAAATGGATACTACAGTAAAATAGTCAATCACCATTCCATTAAACTAAACGATCACTGTTTTTATTATTAATTTTTGAGTTTACAAAATTTAATACAAAAAATACCACTTAGCGTTACTGCATAAACTATAAATGTTTTATTGAAAAAAAGGAATATTACAGAAATCTAATCTGCAATATTGTATATACTTGTAACAATACTAATTATAACAGATGTTACAACTATAGAAGAAGTAGAGAAGTAAAGGCGTACATTACACGTTCATGCAGGCGTCAATCAATTCGATCAATCATAATTGATAAAATATGGGTGGTGACTGATAGCCCCTCGTCTGTACAAACGCCATAATATGGCGTCCAGTGATAGCAAACTATTTGTAACATATATATATATATATATATATATATATATATATATGATATATATATATATGATATATATATATATATATATATATATATATATGATATATATAACATATATATCTGTTATGCATAATCTGATAGCTTATTTAATAAAGTTTCCATTGATATATGATTTCAATATACTTACTTAGTATATATATATATATATATATATATATATATATATATATATATTTTTATTTAATACTAAGTACTTCGGAAAGTGCTCGACAGATGACATGCGAGAAAATGACCCCGACATTCGAGTGGATAGGCGTACATTACGCGCTCATGCAGGCGTCAATCACTGCATTACACGGTAGGCTATTCGTCAATCACAAAAGTAACTTTTGTAAAACTGACAACCTGCATGAGCGTGATAATGTACGCCGTATCGTATTTGACACACCTTATTTACGTCACTAAACGGTTACTTGTTTCTTTATTAACTGGCTTTACGGCTCTGGTTTCTAGACCTTCTGAGCCTATCCTTTCTTTGGGAATCTTCATTTCATGTTCTTTTTTCTTCACAATATGCTGATGAGTCACATTGCGAAGCCCTTGAGATATTTTGACGACAGCTCAACCTAGCAGACAGTTGATGACGACAGCCACTCAAGTTCATAAACGCCCAAGCGATCAAAATAACTTGAGGTTTATATCGACATCAAAGCACTTGTTTCGTCGTTTTCTCTAATAGTTCACACGCGCGGACACTTAATTCACAAAATCGCATCACTTTTACGAATCAAAATCCACTTCAAACCATTATTCAAACGACAATCCGTCTACGGCCAAGTCCCGCCAAAACTCCACGGTAACTTGTGATTGGTCAGTCTCACAGAGTACCTTTGTACAATCTGGAGCTGTCTGTCACCCACTCTCACCTGTGCTCGAACCCTGTGAGTTACAATCATACTAAATAATAGAAACCAAAATATTAGTAGTTCTATTATAACCTCTAAATAAAGTTCCTTAAATAATAAAAACCAAAATATTAGTAGTCGTTTTATAACCTCAAACTTTTTTTTGAAATATAGCTTTTCTGATGCTAGTCCACTATAGAAATAGGATTTTAAAGGAATTCACTAATGATCGACAATACAACACTATATTTTCAGATGATTCTGGTTCCAGGGCAAACAATGTATAGGCGTAAAGCAATGTCCTTTATGTTATATTTATACTAACATTATTTAAAAAAAATTATGTTAGTATAAATATCTCCTCCATGATAGACGTAAAAATCGACTTCCATCTCATCATCATCGACTCAGACTTCCTGCATGTCTTACCAGGTCGTCACTCCATCTAGTGGGGGGTCGCCCTACACTACCCCTACCGGTACGAGGCTGCCGCTCGAGAACCTTTCTTCCCCATTGGTTATCGGTTCTTCGAGCTATATGGCCGACCCATTGCCACTTCAGCTTACTAATCCGTTGGGCTATGTCAATTTATCTACTTTTGAGCTGTATCATCATTGACGAAGAATAAGACGCAATCGTCTTGGGACAGAGCTCAAAGAATGCATTCTTAGTGGAATGCTTTCTGTGTCCGGAAAAAAGGTATTACACATTGATCGGAATAAGTATTACGGTGGTGAATCTGCGTCAATTACTCCCTTAGAAGAATTATTCGCAAAGTTCAATACACCGGCTCCGGATGAAACATATGGCTGAGGTCGTGACTGGAACGTAGACTTGATCCCCAAGTTTTTGATGACTAATGGCCTTTTAATGAAATTGCTTATCCATACGGGCGTAACCCGTTATATGGAATTTAAGTCTGTAGAGGGCTGTTATGTTTACAATAATTGTAATCACAATTATTGTGGAAAATTTTCAAAAGTGCCTGTGGATCAAAAGGAAGCTTTGGCATCTGACCTAATGGCCATGTTTTAAAAGAGACGTTTTTGCAACTTCCTTGTTTATGTACAAGATTTCCAGGAAGAAGACTGCAAAACCTGGAAAGATTTCGATCCTAGCACAGCTAATATGCAGTCACCATATGATAAATTTGGACTTGACAAAAATACCCAAGATTTTACTGGTCATGCATTAGCACTTTACCTTGATGACAGCTATTTGCAGCAACCGGCTATTCAGACAATTCATCGTATTAAGCTGTATTCCGACTCGCTTGCCTGGTATGGTAAGTCTCCATACTTGTACCATATGTATGGACTTGGTGAGTTGCCTCAAAGTTTTGCACGCCTTTCAGCAATCTATTATGGTACTTATATGTTAGACAAACCTATGGATGAGATAGTCCTTGGAGAGGATGGTAAAGAGGTGGGTGTGCGCAAAGAAAATGAGATATCTAAATGTAAACAAGTGTATTGTGCCCCAGCTTATGTACCTGATAGAGTTCGCAAGAAGGGTCAAGTTATTCGTTGCATTTGCCTTTTAGATCACCCTATTGCTAATATAAAAGATGCGTTATCTACTTAGATAATAATTCCTCAAAAGCAATTGGCAAGCAGTGTCATACTCTCATCAAGTTGCTGCTAAAGGGAGGTTTATTTCTATGGTGTCTACTACTGTGGAAACTAAGAGAGAGTCAGAGATCAAATCTGGTTTGGACTTGTTGGGTCCCATTCGACAGAAGTTTGTTTCTGTGTCTGAATATTTTGAGCCAACTGATGATGGCAGCCAAAGTCAAATTTTCATATCGGAATCCTACGATGCAACTACACACTTTGAGACCACTTGTTTGGATGTGATCAAAATCTATAAGCGGGGCACTGATGAATACTTTGATTTCTCGAAAGTGTAGAGCAGTGAACACTGTTCCTTATGATTATTGCTTGTTAATTTAATATTTGTTTATATATAGCGATAATATATTGTTCTTTAGGGTTTTTAGGCAAATATAGTACAGAAGATGTATGTATAGAACATCACTTTCGTTGACATGAAGTGCAGCAATGATTTTATTCCTACCAAAACATATTTAAATATTACTTATAGAATTTTATTCTCCATTTTTAGATTGCTCTTATAATTCAAGATAATCAAGGTGTAAAATGATCTGCACAAGTGATAGATAGATCAAAAAGCATTCTATTTTGGTACATCATTTGATTCTGCCTCCATATTATGCTCATAATTTATGTCAACTTAATGACTGCTCACTTAACAACAAAATGTTCTGTGTAAGGTCAATAACGAAGTTACATTAAAATATGTCAGTCACTCTGATTTTACTGCGGATATGCTCATTTCTGAGTCTATCACGCAGAAAAACTCCGAGCATAGCCCTCTCCATAGCTCGCTGAGACCTCATAGGGAAGATATTTACCATAGTCATGACGCTGGATATTTATTTCTAAGATGCTGCTGCCCATCTCCTGATTTGTTTCCCTCTGTTGCCTCTAACGCCAGCAATAGGACAATGTGAGAAAGAAAATATTCCAACAGCCAGTAAACGGTCTTTTTAGGCACCTACGTTAACATGCCGTGGTAGCTGAGATGGTTAGCGCTTGCGCAATACGAACAAACCGGGATCGATGGCGGCACCAATGAAATTGTCAATTGAAATTATCAGTGCTAATTTACCACGTGCTTGACTGTGAAGGAAAACATCGTGAGGAAACCTGCATGTCTAAGAAATAAGGAAAAAAATATTTCGAAAACATTGTGAAGTTTGCCAACACGCATTAGGGCAGCGCGGTGGGCACTTTCTTGCCTTAAAACCCTCTCAGAAATGGGAGAAGGCCTGTGGACGTACACAGGCTGTAACTTTAACTTTAAGGTACATATATGTATATAAAAACATCACTCTCCCGCGTCCTGTCAGGTCAATATTATTTCTTAAAAGCCGGAAAATATAAGACACCATAAAAGCGTATACGGTCCAGCACAGCAGAATTACGTACGGGTACTCCGTTTTATGGGCCTGGTTTGAACGCTTTCCGAATGTGTAATCTACGAGTAAGTTGTACTGGAAGCGCTTGTTTAAGTTATAAAATTGTGTCTCTTCTTTTTACAGTTATATGCATTGCTTAATTTAGAAATAAAATTTATATGTTTGCTGCGTGGAGATAAGAAATACAGAAAAAAATGTTTATTTATTGTTGCAACTTAGTTTTAATACAAAAAAAACTTAATAGCAATATGCGGCCGTGTAGTGGCGGTTGAGAATATCCACTACCCCATATCTTCCCGTGGGTGTCGTAAGAGGCGACAGAGGGAGACAGGCAGGAGACGGGCAACAGCATCGTCCTAATAACAACAATAATATAATAAAAAAACTGCGGTTGCCAACCTGCTCGCAAGCGTAGCAAGTATGGAAAATATCCCCCATGAATATGACGCAAATAAACGGCCCCCAGTCCTGAGGTCATTGACGGATTCAACTCGGTTGGGCAGCATTCGAGAAATTACGACGCATCTTCTCGTCATGTATACCTCAAAACCTTAAAACTAAGTTGTACAACCAGTGCGTGTTGCCAGTGATGACTTATGGAACCGATACGTGGTTCTTCACTGCTGGCCGTATGAGGGCGCTCAAAGTCGCTCAGCGAGCTATGAAGGGGGCTATGCTTGGAGTTTCTCTGCGTGATATACTTAGAAATGAGAATACCCGCAGTAGAACCAGAGTGACCGACATAGCCCAACGGATTAGTAAGCTGAAGTGGCAATGGGCCAACCATATAGCTCGAAGAACCGACAACCGTTGGGGAAGAAGGTTTCTCGAGTGGCAGCCTCGTACCGGTAGGCAAAGTGTAGGGCAACCCCCCACTAGATGGAGTGACGATCTGGTAAGACATGCAGGAAGTCGATGGATGCAGGTGGCTCAGGACCGTGCTTTTTGGCATACCTTGTGGGAGGCCCATGTTCAGCAGTGGACTTGTGAATGTGAGTGGGCTGTAATGATGATGATGATGAACAAAATGCTTCAAAAAGTAAACACTCGGAAAAATACTACAGTAGCTACAGATTAAAGTGTGAAATTATCGTTTTAAAATAAAAACTCAAAAACCTTTTATAGTTAAAAAAATATACTTATTTAATGAAAGTATCTGCCCTCATTTTTTTGTATATTTCTGCCACCTTAAGGGAAGTACATCTACCCCTTTGCGATCAAACTCTGGGGCCTGTACTCTATAAAGTCTACGAGTACAACAATTTGTACCGGTTCCTGAGAATAAAATTTTTATCCTTGCGGAAATTTGTTCAAATTGCACAGAATTTTTTTTCACTTATTGAGGCTACTTAATCGAATTCATCATGATAATGAATTATACGAAAAATAATGTTTGTATTTGGGCAAAAGTAAAAAAACAATATGGCATCTTTCAGGTGTATAAAACATAGATCTACTACACTTAGAATGGCAATGGTATTGTTAGAAAAGGACTTATAGATATACTATGACATGAGTACGTACGTAAGTTTCCACTTTTATCTGTCAAAATTTAACAGTTCTGGGCAACGCAAAAAGCACAAAATAGTTCGTATTTTCGTGAGATATATTATATTTAACTTTGTATGTTTTTGTGTAAATCCTACACTGGTCAGTATTTAGTCCTATTAAACAAATTTCATCAAAAAGGTCTATTATCACATTAAAGAAGCGACTAGTATTGATAATTAGGTAACTTAAAACAAATCGATGATGTACGTTTTTCAGGTTCCCATTTGGCTTCAATCAAATACGGACAAATTTTTCGAACGTCGGTAATAATATCTCGAATATACCCTCGCCTGTTGGTTGATACTACAACAGGAGAGGGTATATTCGAGTTATTATGACGCTGATTGTTCTGTGAGCAAGGAAACTATAATCGATCAGAAGACACTTGCTATATAACAAAAGAATGATTTGGATTTATATTCTAAGCAAAATCACACACACGTTTAAATCATTAATAATCACTTTATTTGAATCAATTTAGTTTTCTTCCTCGTACAATTTCTCTTTGGAACCAGACCAATACGGCTTAGTGACCTTCAAGAAATGAGATAACTCCTTTCTAAAAGGCCGGCATCGAACTGGCAACTACCTTATTTTCGTCTTATGCGCAATAACGGTCGCCGCTAGACTTTCGTGCCGCTACGTATATAAAAAATGTATACAGAATACGTATATAGAAAATTAGAGATTTTGTTGAAAATATAAACAATATAATCCTTTTAGAACTAGAAATTAAAAAATGTGGTTGCCAAACCACCTGGCAACCGTGGCAACTGTGGCAAATACCCTCATTGTGAGACAATCTATTGGATAGCCTATGTTTAGCAGTGGACTTTTATAGTCTGTAATGTATGGACGGATGACACAAAAATATAAAACTGACACCTTAAATAAGTTTTACACAATTATTAAGTAGCGTGAATAGGTCATATTAATTCCTAAAATACAAAAGTAAGGTGTAGTATTCACATTTATATAAGAAATCATCAAAATATAAATTTAAAATATAAAGTTCTTTAATCTGTAGGTAGTAGGAAAAATTTAATAAGGGAATAATCATCTCATCTCGAATTTGATTAAAACTACTTTTACGGATTTTATCGCGTTTATTTTTTACTTTTTATTTTAATTCCCGACGTTTCGGGCGCTTTCCAGCACCCATGGTCACGGGGGACTGAGATGACTGACGTCCCGATGTCATTGTTAAACCCGGAGTACCTTCAGCTTTTTTAATTATTGTTTATGGTCCGATCTATGCAAAATGAACTGACTATGTCCTGAGGTCTTGCAGTGGTATGCTTGGGTTTAGTTTTAATTTTATTGATTATAGGATCCCAAGCATGTGGTAGTACCTAGCCTCCTTCTCTATTGAAATTAGGATGTTTTTTAATTTCAATAGCCTCACGTATCATCCTTGGTAGGAATCGGTGTTCTTTCGCGAGGATTTTCGAAGTTCAGCGCCGAAATTAAATCTCCCCAAAAATGAATTTAACGCGTTGAAAAACTTACGCAACAGACCAGAGCTTACGATTCTCCGCGCAGATAAAGGTAATTCTACGGTTATAATGGATACGTCAGATTACAATTTTAAAATACAACAACTTTTGTCGGATGAAACTACTTATCGAAAGGTCAAAACAGACCCTACAACTAATACGCTTAAAACAACTAGCGATCTAATTAAGAAATACTCCGAAAAATTGAATCTGGACGTTAATTCGATAATACCTTCCTGTGCCAAACCACCGAAGTTGTATGGGTTACCAAAGATACACAAACCGAATGCTCCATTACGTCCAATAGTGAGTCAGATTGATTCGCCAACTTACAGATTGGCTCAATACTTAGCTAAAATATTATCACCACTCAGAGGACACACAAGAGCACACACTAAGGATTCATACCATTTTGTCAGTGAGATAAAAGACCTACATCTTGCTGACAATGAAACCATGGTCAGTTTTGATGTTCAGTCTCTATTTACATGCCTACCTGTTGAAGACTGCATCTCAATTATAACTAGGAAACTAGA